TCTACACACCCCTGTTAAAATGTCAGGTTTCTGTGATGGCAGAAAATGAGACAAAGAAATAATTTCTGAACTTTTTCCACCTTTAATGTGACCTTTAAACTGTACAACTCAATTGAAAAAACAAACTAAAATCTTTTTTTTTTGGGGGGGGGGGGTATACATGAAAAACTAAAATAATGTGGTTGCATAAGTGTGCACACCCTCTTATAGCCATGTTCAGAATTAAGCAATCACATTCAAAATCATGTTAAAAAAAGGGGTCAGTTAACACCTGCCATCATTTAAAGTGTCTCTGATTAACCCCAAATAAAGTTCAGCTGTTCTAGTAGGTCTTTCCTGACATTTTCTTAGTTGCATCCTACAGCAAAAGCCATGGTCCGCAGAGAGCTTCCAAAGCATCAGAGGGATCTTATAGTTAAAAGGTATCAGTCAGGAGAAGGGTACAAAAGAATTTCCAAGGCATTAGATATACCATGGAACACAGTGAAGACAGTCATCATCAAGTGGAGAAAATATGGTGCAACAGTGACATTACCAAGAACTAGATGTCCTTCCAAAATTGATGAAAAGACGAGAGAGAAGAAACCTGGTGTGGGAAGCTGCCAAGAGGCCTACAGCAACATGAAAGGAGCTGCAGGAATATCTGGCATGTACTGGCTGTGTGGTACATGTGACAACAATCTCCCGTATTCTTCATATGTCTGGGCTATGGGGTAGAGTGGCAAGATGGAAGCCTTTTCTTATGAAGAAAAACATCCAAGCCCGGCTAAATTTAGCAACTACACATATGAAGTCCCCCCAAAAGCATGTGGGAAAATGTGTTATGGTCTGATGAAACCAAGGTTGAACCTTTTGGCCATAATTCCAAAAGATGTTTGGCGCAAAAACACTGCACATCATCAAAAGAAACACAATACCCACAGTGAAGCCATGTGGTGGTGGCAGCTTCATGCTTTGGGGCTGTTCTTCTTCAGCTGGAACTGGGGCCTTAGTCAAGGTAGAGGGAATTATGAACAGTTCCAAATACCAGTCAATATCGGCACAAAACTTTCAGGCTTCTGCTAAAAAGCTGAAGATGAAGAGGCACTTCCTCTTTCAGCATGACAACAACCCAAAAGCATACAACCAAATCAACAAAGGAATGGCTTCACCAGAAGAAGATTAAAGTTTTGGAATGGCCCAGCCAGAGCCCAGACCTGAATCCGATCAAAAATCTGTGGGGTGATCTGAAGAGGGCTGTGCACGGGAGATGCCCTCGCAATCTGACAGATTTGGAGTGTTTTTGCAAGAAAGAGTGGGCAAATATTGCCAAGTCAAGATGTACCATGCTGATAGACTCATAACCAAAAAAATTGAGTGCTGTAACAAAATCAAAAGGTGCTTCAACAAAGTATTCGTTAAAGGGTGTGCACACTTATGCAACCATATTATTTTAATTTTTTATTTCTACTTCCCTCCACCTAAAAGATTTCAATTTGTTGCAAAAGGTGGAAAAAGTTTTGAAAGGATTTATCCTTGTCTACTTTTTTTCACAGAAACCTGACATTTTAACAGGGGTGTGTAGACTATTTATATCCACTGTATAATCGTAGTTCTATAAGCACCATCATACAAGAGACCCATTTAACATCCTCTGTACAGTATATGTGTACATATAAAGATATCATTAAAGTGGAGTTCCACCCATTTTTTAAAGTGCACCTGTGTACATCGTACTTGTGTTGTAAAGCACGATTTGGATAATTTTTTTTTTTTGTATTATAAATAGCTTTAAATCCATTTTTAGGACTGCAGTTCTAGTCCCGGCCGCCTAGGCGATGACGTTGTAAGGCGAATCGCAAGGTCTCCTGGGATGTCGTGTCCTTTATCCCTGGAGTCCTTTGGGTCCCTAGTGAGTTAATATCGTGGCACTTCAAACTGGAAATGACGCGAATGGGAGGAGTTCGGTGCCATTTTACCAGAGTTCTGTGAGTGGAAGACGTGTACGCTGTATGCTGCGGACTGCGCTGTTCTCTGTTAGCTGGACGTGCAGAGTGTGTCAGTACTGCGCAGGCACGAGATCGAGTGGTGCATGCTGGGATAGCCAGCAGCACCAATTCCAAGAAGTAAAGACCTGCGGGCTTCAGATGCCCACAGTTTAACTTATTTGAAAGTAAAAACAAGACTATTACTAATAACTTCATCCAATTGATAATGCTAACGAAAAGGAAATCCTGGGTCTGCTTTGAAAAAAAAAAAATATTCTAAGGACTGGATCTCCGCTTTAAAGTCCAAACAGATCACTGACTGGCAAAATGTTACATGTCTGCTCAAAGCATCACATATGAAATAATTGTGCTTCTTTTACGTTGCATCCAATGAATAGCTATGCAAGCACCTGGAAGCTGAAAAACATGACCTGTTACTAGTTTTGGACAGAAGCGGCGACAGACTCGTATGGCAGTTTCAAACAATCCTGAGTGACACTCTTGATGGGGTAGTGAGACAGGCTAGGGTACCTTGTTCAGGACTACCTGCAGTGAGATCTGCCAGTCTCTTCCCTTCTGCATAGCCAACATATGAATGCTCAATATTCGTAATTATTAATAGGTAAATCAGGACGTGCCTGCACATCCAACTGGCCATTGGATGTTTAAGGGCATCTTTAGTTGTGCATTCTATAAAATTTTAAATCAGGCTGACAAGTAGGAGTATCTACATGTACTCCTGGTCAGACAGATCTGTGCATAAATGATTAAAAAAAACCCCTAAATCTGTAGTCTCCAATCTACAGCTCATAAGAGGTTGTATTACATGCATGGGGCTGAGTGGTCAAAGTGCACAGCACACATAAGTTAAACAAAGTTCATGTATGTGTCAGAAGACAGTGATTAGACAGAAATGCATAGATAGAAAAGAGGAGTTTCAGTCAGGGCCAATTAAATAGCAGGACTTGTAAAGAAGTAAAAATATTTGAAAGGCAGAGACTATACTAACATGATCAGTTTTAAATCGAGTCCCTTTAAAAAGAGACCCTGACAGTATAAATGTAAGTTAAAGGTAACAAAGCTCTACTGGTAGTTACTATTCTGTATGTCAGAAGGTTCTGACAGCGGCTCCCAAACACAACCTCCTGATATCACAACCAACACTGCTGTGGCTGTATTAAGGAGAGGGCATGTGCAGGGGCAGCATTGCTGGTAAGGTAACTGGATAGGAAATGTCACCAGTGCACAGAGCGAAACATGGTACCCCTGCCCAAGCACTCTCCTAAAAACAAAGCCTGATCAAACCGTCTGGGTGTCTGCTCTTCATGCCGTTTTGGATCTTTCAGTATAAAAGAGACATAAAGCCCAACAGAACTTTCAGTTTAAATCAGCTAGATATATAAAGTTTATCAAAACAAAATATGTGCTAAGTCCTTTATTTTCCATGGAAAGCAGCCAAATCTGAGTAATAAAATGCTTGTACTGTACCAGAAAGCTGCAAAGAAGGACCATTATTTTTTCGGTTGAAGCAGCAGTCACTCTGCAGAGGTACAACCCTGCCTGAGACAAAACGTTTGCTCTGAAATCAGCACAATTCATATTCCCTGATTAGAGTGTTCCAGCTCTAGCTAACCAGGAGGCTTGTCAAACCAGTGCAGAAAGATCACTGCTTCCACAAGGGCCTCTCTCTATGCTGGTAGGGGGCAAGCTTTTCAACACAGCCTATGGCTGCTTTCTTTTATTTAACTGATTCAATCAGAAAGATCAGTGGCTCTTTACATTTAAAGATTTCACTGTTAGGCATTTAAAATTTTGGTTTGTAATTCCCCTTAGTTTCTGTGCTAGTGACACCAAGAGAAGAAATGAGAGAAATAGGGGTTATACGGGGCATTAAAAGTCATAGGCCAAATAAACACCTGACAGAGGGTCTTATAATTCCCAACTCTGCTAAGTAAATTTTTGTTGTTGTTTCTGTCCCCACTGGATAGACATGCTGTCCCATTGGGACAGGAAGACAGGAAAAGCTCTGCAATGGGGAAAAAAAAAAACGGTAATAAAAGCTGAAAGGGGTTGCAATCCTTGCCCCTTTTATCCAAAAAAAAAGTTTTTGGTTAGAATCAAACTTTTCACCAGATACACAATGGAGAACACTAAAATCAAGAACAACTTATTTCCAATGGAGTGTACGGGTTCTGGGCTGTGGAAGATGATGAACAAAATATTGGCACACCATATAAATCGGGAGGAAAACATAATTCATGGCATACTTCCATTTGTCATACTGAATGTAGGCAGCTTAAAAAATATTTAAATAACTTAAGTCAGATATTTATAATTTCAAAACACATATAGAAAGCCTCAGATGGAAGCCGCAGGTCTTTGGTTTCGTGCAACTGATGTCACTTATCAAGAACTGGTTTGCTTACTGATCCAGAATGAGTACACAATCCAGGTATCAGGACAGCATCAGGAAACAGCAGCTTCCACTTAAGGCTTCTCACAGAGTTATTATCCCTTGCAAAAGATAGCCAGTAATAAGGCAGTGCCAACAGACACAGTGTGTGGTCGTAGATGTCAACCAATATGATTTCATCCTCTGGAAGTTTGGAACCATCACAGCCAGAAATGAGGACTATAGAATACTGCACTAAGTCTAATAAATAATAAATGATCATGATGAAACTTCATCAAAGCGCACTGGGTAAAACATGGTATTAGAATGGATTTTTCTCAGTCTCGAATTTTCGTCGTATAAAACAAAGCTGTACGTTTACATTAAGACATGATCTAGATATTACCCTTGTTGAGATCCCCAAGAACCAGTGATCCGGTTTGTGTCCATAAAAAGCAGTCTGTCTATGATACAATATTAGAAAAATAGATCTTGATGTTCCTCTGGGTGGCAATTTGTTCACCTGTTTCACAAAGCCCAGACCATAGCAGTGTACCCAGGATTCTTGCTCTGTATGCATGATCGGTGGCTGTGCTGTACAAATGCAGGCTGGGAAAGTCTTTACCTGGGCTCCACGTATATCATGAACTGTTGGTTTTCAGTAAGATCTCCTGTAAGTCTTCAGGCAGCTCTTGTATAATGATGTCTACTTGTCCTTGAAGCTTCTGCAACGTGTCCATATTTACAGGGAGCTGTTCCCTCTGCGCCAGAGCCTGTTAACAGCAAGACTTATCAACACCACAATAACGATTGATATTTTAAAGCTGCTAGAGGGCAACTTTTTACAACTTTAAAGGCCCATTTAGACTAAGGCTTACCAGTAGGTACAGTGACTATCTCAGAAATTTGCATTGTTTAGAAGGTAGTCACACAGCATGCAGACGGTGATGTTACCGGCACATGCGATCTGAAGGAATGGCACAGCATGCATGACCTTCAGAGCTCCGAGCCGCAGCCAAGGGCTCCCACGCTCATGCGTGGGAGTGACGTCATCGCAGCACTGTCCATTCATACTGCTGGAACCTGGAAAGAAGACTGGGTGAAGATGGAGGTGCTGGGGAGCAGTGACAGCACGGCACTGGAGGGCTCCGTGTATAGGCAAATCTGTCATAATGTACTAGTATGCGGTGCATAGTAGTACATTATGACATAAACCTGCAGGGTGCCCATTTGTTTTTTTTTTAAAGAAAAAAAAAAAAAAAGAATTAAAAAAAAAAGGTACAAAGTGCAAGCACTCAAGAGGTATTTGCTTTTTCTGGCAACAGCTTGCCCGACTTCCACACATTCCTGTTGGCCACTGAAAAAGCCCTTTATAGTGATGAGCCAATAGAAATATGTGATTGGGGTGGGAAGGAAACAGGCAAGCTTCAATACTACCAACATTCAAAGTGTTACTGTACATGAAGCTTAAAGTAGATCTAAACCCAAATCATTAAAATCTCAATTAAATTAGTTGTTTTTCAGACATTTTAAACCTGTGCCAGTGATGGCTGCCGGGAACAGGAGGGAGTGCTGACAATGGATGGGCCATTGGAAGCCTATGGATGATGTCACTGCTCCAGGCTTACCAGCTGTTTTGGAGTGCCCTCTCCCCCTGAGCCGCCACTGGCTGCCATAGTGAATAACATGACCAGACCAGAGGGGCCAGGAAATAGGTAAAATATATACAGTCAGGTCCATAAATATTGGGACATCGACACAATTCTAACGTTATACATGTAAAAAATGATGTAGCGCTAGAACATATATACAATATATTCACACGGTCACCCGGTGGGATAACTTATGTCTCGATATTATCAACGTCCTACAATAGTGAGGAAATCAGCATGTGCACAGCCAAAATATGTGAAGTCCTTAGTGCACACAATAGAACACTGCAAACTGATCCACACATAAAAATCCAGTGATCCGTGTCACATTCCTCTTAGGCATGCAAAATAGGGGAATGTGTATGAACCCACAAACCCTCGAATGTGATCCTAGAATGGGTAGAGTGGCCTCTCACCTCCAGCCTGCGACCCTACAGGGCCACAGCGCTTAATGTAGACTCACACCCACAAGACTGGGGTAGGCTCCTCTTAATGCTGGATCATAAAGATGTCTCTGCAGCTTCCACCTCTCCTCTGATGTCCTTGCGGGCCAGTAAGCCGGATGTGTCCCAGCTCAGATCCCCATAAGATATAAAGACATATCCTCCATAGTGTAAAACTGTTTATTAAAAAGTCATAAAAACGAAGAGAAACACACTCACATGGGCCAAAAGACAAATCGCGTTTTCCCCATATGCTGGGTGTAAGCATAGACCTCAGAAGGTGTTCCAAAATGGCGCCACGCCGGAAGTGCGTCACCACGTCAAGCCGTCGACGCGTTGCGTCACGTGACCTCGTGACTTCATCAGGAGTCCTGATGAAGTCACGAGGTCACGTGACGCAACGCGTCGACGGCTTGACGTGGTGACGCACTTCCGGCGTGGCGCCATTTTGGAACACCTTCTGAGGTCTATGCTTACACCCAGCATATGGGGAAAACGCGATTTGTCTTTTGGCCCATGTGAGTGTGTTTCTCTTCGTTTTTATGACTTTTTAATAAACAGTTTTACACTATGGAGGATATGTCTTTATATCTTATGGGGATCTGAGCTGGGACACATCCGGCTTACTGGCCCGCAAGGACATCAGAGGAGAGGTGGAAGCTGCAGAGACATCTTTATGATCCAGCATTAAGAGGAGCCTACCCCAGTCTTGTGGGTGTGAGTCTACATTAAGCGCTGTGGCCCTGTAGGGTCGCAGGCTGGAGGTGAGAGGCCACTCTAGCCATTCTAGGATCACATTCGAGGGTTTGTGGGTTCATACACATTCCCCTATTTTGCATGCCTAAGAGGAATGTGACACGGATCACTGGATTTTTATGTGTGGATCAGTTTGCAGTGTTCTATTGTGTGCACTAAGGACTTCACATATTTTGGCTGTGCACATGCTGATTTCCTCACTATTGTAGGACGTTGATAATATCGAGACATAAGTTATTATCCCACCGGGTGACCGTGTGAATATATTGTATATATGTTCTAGCGCTACATCATTTTTACATGTATAGGATTATTGTCTGCCTGGTATAAGATTGGATGTTAGCAGCTGCAGAATACTTTGTGCATACCAGTTAGTATTTGCGTGTACCTGCATAAGAGCGCAAAAGGATTTCTCTTATTACAATTCTAACGTTGTTGTCTCTATACACCACCACAATGGATTTGAAATGAAATGAACAAGATGTGCTTTAACTGCAGACTGTCAGCTTTAATTTGAGGGTATTTACATCCAAATCAGGTGAACGGTGTAGGAATTACAACAGTTTACATATGTGCCTCCCACTTGTTAAGGGACCAAAAGTAATGGGACAGAATAATAATCATAAATCAAACTTTCACTTTTTAATACTTGGTTGCAAATCCTTTGCAGTCAATTACAGCCTGAAGTCTGGAACGCATAGACATCACCAGACGCTGGGTTTCATCCCTGGTGATGCTCTGCCAGGCCTCTACTGCAACTGTCTTCAGTTCCTGCTTGTTCTTGGGGCATTTTCCCTTCAGTTTTGTCTTCAGCAAGTGAAATGTATGCTCAAAATCGGATTCAGGTCAGGTGATTGACTTGGCCATTGCATAACATTCCACTTCTTTCCCTTAAAAAACTCTTTGGTTGCTTTTGCAGTCTGCTTTGGGTCATTGTCCATCTGCACTGTGAAGCGGCGTCCAATGAGTTGTGAAGCATTTGGCTGAATATGAGCAGATAATATTCCCGAAACACTTCAGAATTCATCCTGCTGCTTTTGTCAGCAGTCACATCATCAATAAATACAAGAGAACCAGTTCCATTGGCAGCCATACATGCCCACGCCATGACACTACCACCACCATGCTTCACTCATGAGGTGGTATGCTTAGGATCATGAGCAGTTCCTTTCCTTCTCCATACTCTTCTCTTCCCATCACTCGGGTACAAGTTGATCTTGGTCTCATCTGTCCATAGGATGTTGTTCCAGAACTGTGAAGGCTTTTTTACATGTCGTTTGGCAAACTCTAATCTGGCCTTCCTGTTTTTGAGGCTCACCAATGGTTTCCATCTTGTGGTGAACCCTCTGTATTCACTCTGGTGAGTCTTCTCTTGATTGTTGACTTTGACACACATACACCTACCTCCTGGAGAGTGTTCTTGATCTGGCCAACTGTTATGAAGGGTGTTTTCTTCACCAGGGAAAGAATTCTTCAGTCATCCACCACAGTTGTTTTCCGTGGTCTTCCGGGTCTTTTGGTGTTGCTGAGCTCACCGGTGCGTTCCTTCTTTTTAAGAATGTTCCAAACAGTTGTTTTGGCCACGCCTAATGTTTTTGCTATCTCTCTGATGGGTTTGTTTTGTTTTTTCAGCCTAATGATGGCTTGCTTCACGGATAGCGACAGCTCTTTGGATCTCATCTTGAGTGTTGACAGCAACAGATTCCAAATGCAAATAGCACACTTGAAATGAACTCTGGACCTTTTATCTGCTCATTGTAATTGGGATAATGAGGGAATAACACACACCTGGCCATGGAACAGCTGAAAAGCCAATTGTCCCATTACTTTTGGTCCCTTAACAAGTGGGAGGCACATATGCAAACTGTTGTAATTCCTACACCGTTCACCTGATTTAGATGTAAATACCCTCAAATTAAAGCTGACAGTCTGCAGTTAAAGTACATCTTGTTTGTTTCATTTCAAATCCATTGTGGTGGTGTATAGAGCCAAAAATGTTAGAATTGTGTCGATGTCCCAATATTTATGGACCTGACTGTACATCTTTCTTACGCTGAGGATTAGCCAGCATGGGTGTTAGGAGGAGGGAGGAAACATTTTTAAGATTAAAAAGGTTAATGCTGAAATTATACTTTAAGTTTCTTCTGTGTTACTGTGCAAATCATATTTAGAGCAGATTTATATGATCCATGCTGTGTATGGTTCTTCTGTTCTCATTGACAGCTTTGATCTCCAATCATAATTTTATTTGTACTCACCAGTTTACTTTTCAGTTTTAAAACCAGGTCCACGGCCTCAACTTCACTGTGCTTCTGTACCCAGATCAGCAAATCCTTAGGTGGGATGTACATAAACACAGAATTAAGCAGGATGGATTATGGTCACTGATCATACAACTTAACCACTTCAAGTCCGGACACTTTTACCACCTTCCTGTCCAGGCCAATTTTCAGCTTTCATCGCTATCACAGCATAGCATTTTTTTGAGACAGCTAAACCTTTATTTTGGTGGTATTTATTCACCACTGGGATTTTTATTTTTGTTTGCTATATAAATGAAAAATCCAAAAATTTTTTAAAAAAAGTGTTTTTTCTTATAAAATTTTGCAAATAAATAATATTTCATAATAAATCTTGGCCAAAATTTATTCAGTTCTCTTTTTAGTAAAAAAAAAAAAAATAACCCAAATTAGTTTATAACCAAAAATTATTAAATTAAAAAAAGTTTTTTACATTTTTTTTAAATTTTTTTATATTAGTTTTTTTTTTTTACATACGGTCACCCTAGCAGTACAGTGTCACCATGGTGACACTGTACTACTTGTGGGGGGTGATGAAGATTTTTTTTTTTTACACTGATTGCTTTTACACCCATAAAGGCTGTAAAATCAATCATTTCTCCTTCTCTCTGGCTGCATTCTTGCAGCCATTGAGAAATACTGTGTGAGCTGTGATTGGTCACAGCTTGTCACATGGTACAAGGCTGTTGTGAATAGCCTTGTACCATGTGACCTCTGTGATCATTCACAGATTTCACACGTAGTAAGCAATAATGTCAGAAGTGACATCTTGCTTACTACTCTGCATGTGATCACTGATTGGCCAATCAGTGATCACATGATCGGGACCTCGCACAGAGGTCCCGTACGACGATTGGTGTTCCACTGTGTCCGTCTTGTGATCCCAGTAGTCTTGTGATCCCCATCAGCCAGCACATGCAGATCCTGGATCTTCCCTCAAACTATACTGCAGTTCAATAATGCATCCTAGTCCATAATCTATCCTAGTGTGTGGCCAAAGAAGCAGCAGCACACTGATGTGTTAATTCCTGAGCTCTCCCCTCCTGTAAGCATGTTCACACTGTAGACTAACAGAACCATCCTAAGCAATAGAGCCGTGATGACTGTCTTAAGAGTGCTGACCTCCTGTTCCCAATTTCCTATTAAAAGTGAAGAGTCAATAATGCTGTCACCTCTCCACTGGGTTACGCAGTTCTAATCCATGCCACAATCTAAGTAAGTGAACAGGGCAGAATAGTTTTATTCTCAGTTAAAATGATATTTTTTTTCATTTGGTTGAATGCTGTGTGATACCTTACAAAATACAAGGACTGAAATTACCTCATTACAAAGTGCTTCAAGTTGAAGAGCTTCTAGCTTTTGCGTCATTTCTTTTCTCCGGGCTCTGAACCAGCCATCAAAGTTAGGTGAACGCAAAAAAAATGCCTTTAACAGAGAATGTATCAACATACAGTTAGGTCCACTGCAGGGAAAAATAACGTATTCTGATAACTGTATGTGCTAGATACCTATAATGACAGTATACAAGTCCATTTTTTATTTTCCATCTTTGTTTATGTTTTTCCATCTTTGTATGCAGGCCAAGATGTCCAACAAAAAAGTGACAGGTAAAGGGGTTGGGACAAATAATTATACATACAAGGGAAATTACAATTATTATTTTTAATTCTTTATAAAAAAAAAATGTTTTATTAAATTTGCAAGGAAATCGTACAATATAAATCAAATGCAAGCTAATCCCTCCCCCCAATACAGTAGGAAGAGAGTAAGCAAAACAACTGGTCACGCAGGACCAATCAGTCCCTGACAACTGCCTTCCCCGCCAGCCCTCTCTCTGTGAGTACATCCCCCAGCAGTCAACATTCAATACAGGCACCACCAAATAACAGTACAGGTGCCAATGCTGACCCCATATAAGGCATCTCCCTTATCAGGATAGTTATAAACACCATAGCAGCTGTATCCTGGATGTCAGCCCATGTACCAATCAAAAGATATATATAGTAGGCCTGAAGGCTCCTCATCTAGCAGGTGACTAGTATTTCTTTCTACACCCAACCCAACCAAACACTCAGGTGGGACTAGTCATTTGTCTCCATCGAGGAGATCCAGCGACCACAGACTTTTTCAAAGTTACAGGGACAACCTCGATTTAAATATGTGGCCTTGTAGAATGGTAATGCCGTATTCACTAGGCCCTTCCAGGCACGTAAAGAAGGATCAAAGGGTTTGTTCCAATGTAAGATAATTGCCTTATGAGCATAGTAGTAACATAAGATACTTTTTTTTTTTTTATCTTTTTATTGAACTGTTTAACACACTGAGGAAATACACACAATAGACATAACAATGGTTCACATGTATCCTACCCTCGCAGGGGCGCAGAAAGGTCAAATGATATATCCAGAGAGATTACAAACGAAAAGGCTGCATCAAAAGATTATCCAAGATGCCCATATGGCCATCGTTACCAACAGAGGAAGAAATGTGGGAATGTAAAGTGTCCCATAGTAGTGTACATTATAGCGTGTATAATGCCCTAAGACCAGGAGAATGTACAAATACGCCTTAAAATTACAATAACTACTCAGGTTATTGGCATGTCAGAGGCAGTGGAGGGTTTGGCCAGCCATTTGGACCACTCTCTATGATATTTCTTGGAGCATCCCCTGTGCATATAAGTATCTTTATAAAGTGGTAAATTAGCATTAATTATCCACTTCCATAGCGTAAGTGATGGAGGAGCTGTTTTTTTTTCCAATTTAAAGCAATGGCCTTTCTAGCATAGAACAAAAGTAGGCTAATCAGAGTACGTTCAGCTACAGTGGGTAGGAGATCACTACCAGACCTAATAAATAAACACCGACATGGTAGGTTTGTAGGGGGGCTGAGGTCAATTTATTGCATAAGGATATTACCTCCTTCCAGAAATCAGACGACGCAAAGCAATGCCAAAAACACATGGGCAAAATGGCCCGGTGCGCACCCACAATGCCAACATTCGGGGAGTGTGTTGAGCTCATTTTGTGAAGCCTATATGGGGCATAATAGGCCTGATGCACTACCATAAACTGAATCAGACGGTCTCTTAGAGAAACCAGGGAGCGAAAAAGCAGATCCCAAATATCATCCCAGTCATCATCTAATTCAGGGACATCCCAAGGACCATGCAGGCCGCCTAGAGCGGGTAGGGAAACCTTCAATAGGTGTGTGCACGGTAAAACCTACTTCCCATCTGTGCTATCAGACGACAACACCTCTTCCAGGGCAGATTGAGTAAGCCAAAGGGTAGAGTGAGGAAATTAAGCACGGAAGGAATGGGAAAGCTGTAGGTATCGGAATAAATAGGATGCAGGAACATTATAAGTAGAAGAAAGCGTGGGACTCAGGTAACTTGAAAAGATGGGGCAGGGTAGTAACAGGTAAATATGCAGCGCTAGAGTAAATGATGAATAATAAATGATATATACAAAAAGAACAGTATAAGCAATCAAACATATGAAATTGCGCTCTATGGCGCTAAAATAAACGATAATAAATATATAATAAAAAGAAAAAAAAATCAGCATAAACATCCAATCATATAAACTTGCGTTCTGTGGCGCTGAAAACAGTAAAGTGTGACAACGTCCTATCTTGATGTAATAAAGTGCATATAGTGATGTATAGAACTTCAAAATTCAATAGCAGCAAAGGTGAAGAAATCTGTGACCGCAGTGCCTATAGAAATGAGTGTAGATTGCACTAACCGGAAAGCGCAAACTAATGTGCGATTGAGTAAATCAAGACCAACTCCTGGTCATCTGCATCTGGAAACAGGAACACTAGGGGTCATCTGGCAAGCGTCAGCATAGGTAGGCAGCACACAATAGGAATATCCAGGCTCCAGAAATGCACTCTCCAGGCAGCAGGTGAACCACTCATGCAGGTAAAAGGCAGGGTCATCAGGAATCACCTTAGAGGGGGGGGCTGTTCGCCTCTCTCTCCAGCTTACCCCACAGCTTACCAACAGGCTGCCCGTAACATCGTCTTGTTCTGGATTAATCCATAATGGGGCATTTGGAAAAACAGCTAGCTTGAGATAATGTTCACAAATTAAACCCGCACGCCAAGCCCGCAGGGTGGTGATCATGGATGGCAAAAATCATGGTAGAAATCTGCAGGGGGAAGGTACATAGCCAACACTCAGCTATAAGGGCCTGATATATATTCATCAGTTTAGAGGGAGTATAAATAATGTGATGGAGAAACTTATAATGTATTAGTCTGTCTCACGCTGATACAAGCTGTTGGAGGGGCAGTCCCGCATGTCGTCCCAATCATCCCCATTCAAATCTGAGATATCACCCACCTATTTCTCCTTACAGTGCACTAGAGAATGGGGCTGATTTGGAAAAAAATCCTTGTAGACTGCGGATAGTTTTAACCAAAGAAGAATCCCACAGTAACCATTCTGGAGAGGGGGATGAGTCACCAACTCGATTTAACAAAAGTGTGCAATAAATGCGTGGCGTAGTTGTAAGTTCCTAATAAAGTCCAAGTTAGGGAGGGCAAATTTACTCTTGAACTAGTCAGATGTCATCAGCTTGCCATGGGAGACAATATTAGTGATGTTTTTAATACCCTTCCCCGCCTATAGAGCAGGGTCAGGTATTGACATCAAATGAGGATAGCAAGGGTTCCTCCATAAAGGGGAATACGGTGAAACACATTTTCTGGGCCAGTCCCCAGGCTCTCAGTGTCATTTTCATAGGGTCAATGAGTACATGTGGTGCCCGGGTCCCCGTGTGTAACAAAAATTTTAGGTTTTCGAAGGACCCCACTATTGCCACCTCCAAAACTGTAGCGGCATCACTATCATCAGAATCAAACCATCTAGACCATTTGAGCTGCAAGATAGCATTTAAGTCCAGGAGAGCCAGCCCCCTTGGGGCCCATGGGTTCCTGAAAGGCCCTAACCCTTATGAGTAGACGGCCATAAAAATGAACTAAAAAAGTCCAGAGACTTTCCTAAAATAAGATTTAGATACCTAAATCTACACGTCTCAAAAAATAGAAAAAGACCAGCAAAATCTTCATCTTTATCAAATGCATTTTTCCCAGTAGGGACAGAGGCAAATTTTTCCAGGTCTTAGCAGGGTCGGATCTAGCACGTATGATATGGGGGTGCAGTAAAAAAAAAAAGTCAGGGGGCAGAGGTCAGCAGGGCAGTGTAAAAAACAGAAATAAATAGCGGAGTGTACTGGGTGTCAACAGGTCAGAGGATAGGGGTCAGCAGAGCAGAGGGCAGGAATCAGCAGTTTGTAGGGCAGTGTACCGATCAACTTCTGCACAACCAGCCTCTAGCAAAATTTCCACATGATCAGCACCGCCAGTTATAGCTGACAGCACTTATCAGTGCTAAGTGATAAGTCTCTCCGCTGTCAGAACACAATACCTCAGGAGTGATTTCCGCATCAACGTCGAATGTGTAGCTGTGGGAATCTAGTTTTTTTTTTTTTTTTTTGTTAAACCCTGCTGTTGAAAAAAAAAATGACTAAATGTATAGACTGCCTTACTGAGCCTACCATAATGAAGAAGAGAAGGAGATGGGGAGAGTTCAGCTTTGGGCAAAGCTCAGCTGACTTACCCCAAGCTGGCCTGGGGGCTCAGGCAGAGGCTTCAATCTTGTAGCCACCATGTAATTGCTAGCTGTCCTGCTTCAAGCTTCCTGCCCCCACATCTTCTCAAGTACAGCCCTGTTTCGGAATTGCAGTGTGGGCAGGGAAGACGAGGAGAGGGGCGAGGCAGACACGAGGAGAGGGGCGGGAGGTGGACATCGATCTCTCCTTTCCTGTCCGTGCAGGGAAGGGGGAGTGTGCTGGCTGGGCTGTGTCACAGACACTGGACAGGTTGCATGGGTGGGCAAAATTGATATCAGGGGGGCATAGCCCACCCAAGCACCACCCTAGATCCGGCCATGGGTCTTAGTCTTTTACCATAACACACCAAGGAGGGGTATAAGATTCAGCGCCATGTAATCTGAAACCTTGGCTGTGATCTGTACCCCCAAATAAATCATCTTGGAGACTAATTTCAAAGGAAGCTCCCTCATCTAATGGCAAAATAGCAGACTTGGTCCAGTTTACCTTCAGGCCTGAGAGGCAGCCAAACTTATTCATGATCTGAAAGACAGTTTCCAGGGATGGACCTGGGTCACACAAATAATAAAAAAAAAAAAGGGGGGGGGGGGGGGGGAGTAGGTCATCTGCATACAGAGACATTACCCCCTATATCCAGTGCCCACAGCTCAGGCGATGAAACCAGTGATATCACCACTGTTTCTATCATCAAAGAAAATAGAAAGGGCGAGAGGGGGCAGCCCTGCCTTGTACCGCTACAGAGGCTGAAATACGGGGAGAGAACATGACCTATATTTTTAGCCGCTCTGGGATGATCATATATTATGGAAATCCACTTAAACAAATGTGGCCAAAACCCATATGAAAAAGCACTTTTCACATAAATCATAAGCTCACGGAGTTAAAGGCTCTCGACCCAGAATTGTCATGTCTGATCTGGAGATGGGAAAAGATAATACAAAGGTTAGCATCTGTGGATTTGTGTGGCATAAACCCCATTTGATCTATATTTACTATGGAAGTGATGACCCGAGAAAAGTGAGTAGCCAGAATTTTAGTTAGAATTTTCAGATCCATGTTTAGTAGGGATTGGCCAGTAGGAGGAACTTTCTGTAGGGTCCTTAGCAGGCTAAGGTAGAAACACAAAATGTGTGTCCAGCGTAGGAGGGGGGAAGGTAGAGGTTTAAAAGCAGTGTTTATACGAAGAATGCTTTCTAGGAATCAGGAGGTCAGCATTGTCCCTATGCCACTCAGCTGGAAATCCATCCAGGCCCGGGGACTTGTGAGGGGGAAAGGATCGGATTGCCCTGTCAATTTCTTCAGTACAGATTTCAGCATTTAAAACAGCCTGATCTCCTTCTGACAGTGATGGAATAGTAAGCGAGGAAAGAAGAGTTTCCAAGGCCTCATCGCTGCAAGGAGGAATAGGTGCATATAATTGACTGTAATAGTGTACAAAGGAGTCAAGAATGACCTCCAGGTCTGGAGAGAGATCACCCACCGCTGTTTTGATACATGGAATATTTGTTTGTGCCTGCTGGTCAGCTAACAGAAGCCGTTTTTATCCCCTTCCTTAAAAAGTGACTCGGCTCTCCTCGTACAGGAAGTGTGGGCAAGTTCAGACATGTGTAAGTTTAGTCTATACCTAGATTCCAACAAAGCCAGAGATGTAACATCTGATGAAGAGGAGGCATGAGATTGCCTACCCCCTGCAAAATTCTGTTATGATTGACTCAATATATTTATTGGCAGAAATATATTTGCCCCTCATGACTGCTTTGAATCCATCCAAAAGAACCTGTTACTGGACAGAGTCAGTGTTATTTTTCCAGTAGTTAGTGAAAGAAGGAAGGAGCTAGCAGTTGGGAAACACTCTCCTCCTGCAGCCATCCTGGAGCCAATCTCTACGCACACAGCACAGATAAAGGCATGTGATCCGATGTCCCTCCAGATAGATAGGAGGTTTCACTGACCATGGGGATTATGGCTGTATTAATGAAGGCCAAGTCTATCTTGGAGGAGGATCTGTGTGTACTGGATACATGGGAATAGAGTTCATTGGGGCGAGTGCTTCGAAACAAGATCGACAGTAGCGGGTCTGGTATTATTGGACGAATCTAAGGGGGAATCATGGACACAAGGATTAAAATCTCCTGCAAGGATGAGAGGAAGGTGTAGATAGGAATTCAGTTTGGATTGAAAGGGTGGAGGAATATAAACTTTTACCAGAAACATTTTACAACCACTGTTGCCAGGTACCTGCCAGTCGGATTACCTGATGGATAGTGCATGGCAGTGCTTTGCTAATGATGAAGACCCCTCTGGCATAGGAAGAGTATATAGCATGCAGTGCCCCCTGAATCCACAGGTGACGCAGAGCCAACACCTGCCACCATCCAAAGTGGGTCTCCTGCAAAAACACCACATGAGGCCGAAAGGTTTTCAAGTACTGAAAGACCAGGGCCCTCTTAAATTTATCATTAAGGCCCCTGATGTTCCAAAATATCAAGGAAAGATTGTTAGACATGACTATTAAGACTATGAAGTAGCAAATAACAGTACCAGAGGAGGGAATAATCGTGGGGCCCCAAGGTTTTGTACTTCCACACCGAGTCCTGCCCTTGATATTGGTTGGAAAGGGTCACATATCACACAGAGAGGGGCAACAAAAAACAGAAAATCACTAAAAATATTCCCAGAAAACTACCCTACTAGTATATTAATGAAACAAAATATAGCCTAAGTACACAGCTTAGTCCTCCAAAAAAAAACTTGTTTCCCCCAGAGAAAAAACCTCCAGAAGAGATGAAACAAAGACCTGTTATAGTGCGCAACTGTGCCAGAAAAATATTTGCTGGAAGTCGGATATCACAACAGTACACCCATAGGGGAGCTCCCAGGTACGAAGTCAAAGCCAGCTTCCAAATCCAAGATGGTGGCGTATACGATAACAATTTGCTGCCAGGAAGACAGTTCTGGACTCCACAGGCCAGTAAATATCTGTATTGTAACTGCTGACTTTTCATTTTTTTTTTAAAACCAGAGTGAAGCTCCTCTTTAAAGTCCATTTACAACTACACATCCATCTAAGCCTACCAAATCCACAGGGTGAAAATGGTGCTGCATGATTTCACTGCAGAAAAAAAAACACAGTTGTCACCTGGTTAAAAAAATGGAAGATCAGTGTATCTACTGTCAGGTTCAACAGGTATAAATATGTTACAACTGCTGTGTTAATACTAGTGACATAATGTAGCATATATTTAGCATTGGACTTCGCTCCATATTAATTACCAAAAATGTTCAGAACTTGTAAGATTAAATAAAAAAAAAAAAAGTTAAAAGAAAAAAAGGAATTTTAAAGGGGAACTTCACCCCGCCTAGGTAAAACTAAATGTTATCTCGGTAAAGCTGGCCACAGATGGGTATTTTCTTTCGGCCAGTAGAATGAACAAAAAGTTCTCCTTCTGCCCCTCTCCTTCTGTGCTGCCATCTTGAAACCCCTGTTCATGCATGCGCAGACAAGTTGCAGCATGTCTACACTTGTGCGAAAAGGATCAAAATTGCACAAATCTACATTCTTGAGTGAAACACCGCCTCCTGGGATGTATGAGTGGACATCCGAGGAGACATCATCCTGATCATCAAACAGTGACAGGGTGAACCAAATAAAGTATTTACTCTGCCTAGCATTAACGAATAAAAAAAAACAAAAAAAAAAAACACTGCTATTGTGAAGGTCCACTTTAAGGCTGTATCCAATATTGATACTCTAGAGGTTTTATTGCTCAATGCATATATTCATTATCTTTATACTGTATCTACTAAGGTTTCCACATGATCGATGCTGTCATATCTGTAGCTGAATGACTTGAGGATATTTAATCCACCATAATAGTGAAAGAAAACCTGTGACCCTGGTATTGGCAGATGGCTTTAGGAATCCTTCTGGGCACTCAATAAATTATTGCAATCTGCTGAGGACAAACTGCTTCTTGAAAGGAAGTGCTATAGGATGAAAGCCTTCTGAATTAGAGCCATTTATTACAAAGTGCCACAAGAGCAGATGGCCAGAGAAATGTACATAGAGCACAACTTCCCTATACATGTATGCAGAGACATACACTGGAATAGTAGTAGTGCAACTAAGCTATTTACGAACAGACTGCAATGTGAATCAACTTATAAACAAATATGAATCCAACTTAGTAGAGTTTAAATTGTATATATAGCAAAATGTTTTCTAGATGTCATCCTCACCTAGACGGCATGAAAGGAGGTAAGGTATGTTTTAATTGAAGTTTTTCCTTACATGTAAAGAACTATTATCCAGCAATTTTTTTTTTGCAGTAGCTTAGCTTAGCTACACACTGTATAGCTTGCCATGGTGTGTTTCAACAGCATCGTGGACGACTTCGTTTTTGCCACCAGAACAAAATCAAATTGGGCCAAGAGCTTCTCAGCCATTCAGCAGAAGCCTAGTTATTTTTATTAATGCATGAAAAAGGACTTCCTCTGATTGGACAAGGTGGAGAGGTGAGTAGACATTGTCATGATTTGCACCTTGGCATATCAAAAAAAAGCCTTTTTATGCATTCATACAAATAAAAGGCTTTCTCTGAATGGCTGAGAAGCATTCAGCCAATTCAGTTTTGTTCCTGCAGCAAATGGGGGGTCATCTGTGATGTTGCCGGATAACACCATGGAATACTGTTTGTAGCTAATGTTACTACAGTACGATATACCACACCGACAGTGGCAAAATTACTGTGTTATGAAAACTGTGTGTTTGGGAGACCTTGGCCCAAACAAACTATTTAAAGTGAAAAGACACATGGACTGAGTCCTGGTATAGGCTGAATACTGTTGACCAGGACTTTAAATTGTTCAAAAATAGGCATGAAGATTTGTGTCATAACCAAATTCTAATGACCCCACTGATCTATCAGCTGGCAATGAGTGGAGTTGTGTTTGAAAACATTGTAACCAACAATCATTGTCAATTTAATATCAACCTGTACAAGCCGATCCAGTCTCCCTTTAACCGAGAAGTAAGCTGAGGACCAGTCTTCTCCAAGGTCTTCATAAACTCCTCCTGACTGAAGGGCTTGAGCTGTGGAGGACTCTGTGGAGGACAACACACACACAATGGAAAAGGTTCAAACACTGGTATCGTCTTTCTATTGACAACAAATACCAGTCAGCAGAGACAAACCTTCCACGCAGAGATACTCTTCAGAAGTGGCATCAAACCTGCCACATAACGTTCCTACAGAAGAAAATTATACAAAGAGTATCAGTTGCCAAGGCATATTGGAGGCCTATATCTTACAGAGAATGAAGCAATTAAATAACTAGTGATTAGGGATGAGTTCAGGTGTGTTCAGATCCTAGTCTGAAACCACTTGAGTTATCCCGCTGGAAATCTGCCACTACTCACCGCCAATCATCAGTTGCTGAGGCATTCTCTTTTCCACAGCCGCAAGTATACACGTCCCTTGTATTTGTGTGGCTGTGGAGCAGACAATGCCTGCTGATGATTGGTGGTGAGCAGTGATGGCTTTCTGATGGGATAGCTCAGGCAGGTGGGGTCTAGAATACAAACATGCCTGAGCTCATCCCTGCAAGTGATTAACAAAAGTAAAGAGGAAAAAGGACCACTACTTGAAAATAAAATGATGAACTGAGAATTGTAGCTTAAAAGAGCTGCCACACTACATTTATGGAAATGCAAATACTTTATTGCAAGATCATAAGTATTTAAGTTTTAAACAAATAAAAAAATTAAAAGTCAAACCAATACCAATTGATACATCTATTTGGGACAAATTCTAGCAGACTGAACCACTCATCTACGTTATACTTTATAGAGGAGTCTGAGAACTATATCTCGATTATCAGCTTTCTTAACGGTATCTTAGTTCCCAGCTCCACCCATTTGCTGAAACCATTAGATTCCTCTTGTAGAGTAATGGGATTGAGATCCCAGGACTGGATAGAAGAGGGGCAAGCTTTATCCCCCAACAGGAAACTCTCACCACTGGGATTGCTACACAAAAAAAAAATAACAAGCCAGTAGGTGATTCAACCTACCAGTATCTATCACTTATCAAAAAATCAGTACTATCTAGACTGACCTTCACAGTACATGTTCTGACATGTGTTGTACACAATAAATTAAGGCTGCACAACCACAGATCAATTTCTTCTCAATAACTTTAATGAGGCAAGTGGTGAAGACACCATCTGCTAACCCCCACTGATGCATTTCTTTCCCTTGTGGGGTTTTATGGTCCTATGATGAAGTCCTCTAAAGTTAGGTTCCACTTGGTGTCCAAATGTGTTAGAGGAAATTAGCAGATAGTGTCTTCACCACTTGCATCAATAAAATTATCGAGAAGAAATGGATCTTTGGTTCTGCCACCTGTTATAATGCGCGCCAGATGGTGAAGGCCAGTCCACCAACTAGTGACTTTTCATAAGTGACAGATACTGGTGGGCTAGATCACTTACTGGCTTGTTATTTGTTAGCAATTCCAGTGGTTAGATTTTCCTCCTTGGAATTCAAGCTCTGCCCTCTTCTATCCAGCCCTGACATCTCAATCCTGTTGTGTTAACAAGAGAAATCGAATGGCTTCAGCAAGTGGGAGGAGATTGAGGGAGGTGATGAAGATTGAAGACAGCCGGTATGTGTGGCTTGCAGTGAGGGAACTTGGAACTGAGGCTGAAGATTGTGGTAACATGCATTGGTGTAGATGCCTTTTTGTGTGCACCAATCCATTACTCATTAGATCTCAACACGCGTCCACACAACATGGCATCACATCACAGGTGTATACTGGTTGCTGTGGTGCATTAAGGTTAAACATTTTTTAGGCATTGATGTGTGTTGTGGGCCCATTAGAAAGAATGGGCACACCTCAAAATAAATGCACAAGGCATATGAGCAATACAAGCCCTTGTGTAGCAGACAGATAAGAAAGGAGTTTGGAAGCAAGTCAAGCATGTCCTATAACCACATACCAGAGGAATGATGAAGCTCTGAGTAAGTTCTAGAAAATGTCGGCGGAGAATTGCATTTTGTGCTTCTGATGGCCGTTTCTGCTGAATACCCTAGAATACAATCAAACAAGGTACCTCAATACTCAAGAAGTTGCAATATTCAATTCAAGAAAAGGCAACAACTGCATTAAGAAGCAAAAAGCAACAGTGGGCAAGATTTACATTTTATCGGACACACCTTATACATTTTAGTCAAATTTACAAAGAACTTTGGTATTTCAATCACCTATTTTGCCATGTTTTGACAACAGAAATAATCAAAATATAACCTACATGATAAAAAAAATTCTTTGCCAATTTCAAATTTTCATCCATTTTATAAAAACCTTTTACAACACATTTTCCTAGCTAGATCTGCAGTAGTTTTCTATATTTATTGAACATATAAGTGGCAGCACAGCAGTGGGATTTTACACTGCTCTGACACACATGCATACAGCCAGCAACACTGTTTTGTGCTGAGAGCAAGCTTACTTGGTACCCCCCCCAGCACTGTGACTGACCTATCATCAACAGCTCCTGGTTATAGTTTAGGATTGGAAGCTGGTAGGACAGGCTCCTGTTTACATGACCATTGTGACATAGTCTTTGTTGAGATTTTAGAAATGAATTATTTCATAGTACTTGCAGCTGAAGGGACTAGTGAGGGTTTGTTTTAGAGCAGGGCTGTTCAACTTTCCTGGGCCACATTGGAAAAAGAGGAATTGTCTGGGGCTGCACAGAAAATTAAATAACAATACGGCTAGCTAATGAGCAATAAGAGGTCAGGCAGATCATAAGTTAGTAAGTATTAAACTTCATTTTTCTGTAATATCGGTCATTAAAAAAAGTAAAAGAAGGCAACATAAAACTAGTGTGATATTTGACTCTGATGGATGTAGTAGCAATTCTCAAGGTGCTCATCAGATATTTTGGTTCTAATTTTGCCCTTTGTGTGCGTCATCCTTAGGCTTCATGCACACAGGGCATTTTTGCAGCCTCTTTTAGGGGGGTCTGGCGTTTTTCTTTAAACTGCTTCCAAATGGCCCTTCATATTATCCTATGTGTTCATGGACACATAGAATTTTAGAAGCTTTTAGTAGCAGTAGCGTTTACCAGCAGAAAAAAAAACCCCAGCGCCAGTGCATCCAGGAGCAGAATAGTTTTGGCAAAAAAAAAAAAAAAAAAACCGCTTGACACGGCTAAATGCATCAAAATGTGCCTAAACGTGGCTAAGCGTTTAGTGCTTGAGTATTAATTTATTTAAATGGACAGACTAAATTATCATTCTGGCCAATTAAATGAATTAATGTCCAAGAGCTTGACGCTTGTAAACATGCCTAAACGCTTATAAAAGCATTAGATACTTTTACAAATGTCAGGCGTTTTTTCTGTAAAAACGCTATTGCAAGGAGGACAGCTTCAAGAAGAGTTTAACGTCCTGTGTGCATGTGACCTTAAAAATAAAAGAAAGTAGTTACTCACAACTATAGGTGCTGCCAAAAACTGATGACATGAATAAGGCATGATTATGAAGAGTGGATATTTTTGTTTGGCATGTCAAGCAAAGAGGCACTGTTACATTTTTCTTCGGCTGCATATGTTCACTAAGTGTAAACGCAGTTTTACAAAAAATTCCAGGAAAAAAAAAAAAAAAAAAAAAAAAAAAAAAAAAAAAAAATTTTTAAGTATGTTTATGATTTTGTGTTGGACTGCATTCATTGCCATCTTGGACCGCATGCGGCTCGTAATCTGCAGGTTGGACACCCCTGTTTTACAGTATTAGTTTTACTGCTTGATAAAAATATGCATATACTAAAGGCTGTAATTAAAAAAAAAAAAAAAAAAACACAACAATCATGTTACACTTGCAATGTTTTTTTTTGTTTTTGTTTTTTTTACAAAGCAGTCCCTACCTAATCCTCTTCTTTTTGGGTCTCCTTCTGGGGGTCCTGGCTCCTCCCCCCTGCCAAATGCCCCCAATAGCAAGCCTCTTGCTGTGAGGGAACTCGAGCAAGCTCACTCCCAAGATGAGCTTCTGTGAATGTACAATGTCCATTTACACACAGAGTGTTGCTCGGCCCTGCCCCTTCTCTCCTCATTGGCTCACTGGCTGTGATTTACAGCAGCAGAACCCAATGGTTCCCACTGCTGTGTGAGCCAATGAGTTGAGAGAGACCCGGGAGAGCCACAGCTGGATCGAAATTGGGCTCAGGTAAGTATAAGGGAGGGGGGGCTGAGGGGGGAGCTGCACCCAGGTTGTTTTTACCTGAATGCATAGAATGTATTCAGGTAAAAAAAAAAAGCTTCTGCCTTTGAAACACTTTAAACCTTGCAATGCAACCCCCAACCCCCCTTCCTGCACTGCAAGGGTTAAATGCTCATTTAGTCTAGAGGTGAACAGGAATAAGCATTTATACTTACCTTTTTCCTCGCTCCTGCAGGCGTCCTAGCTGTAAGACTGGTCCCCTAAAGCCACTTCCCTTTGCCATACAATCAGGACACAGGTGCACTTTAAAGGTCCAACTCCGATCAAACCTTTCAATGGAACACCTGTCAGATTTTTACTTTAGATTGTGACCCCCATTGAAGATGTTTTTTGAAAAGGCAAAACAACAGTCTCTTTAAGGGTGAGGCAAGACCCTGAAAGACAGTTATTTCTTTGTATCACTTTTGATAAAATAACATTTAATCCATTATGCAATCCCCCTGGTATAAGCTATCACATCAAATATTTTTCCTGCAGGGCCCAGTATTCCACTGCGCTCTGCACAATCTGTCACTATCAGTGTGCCTCCACATAACTTCCACCATCATGCAGAGATTTACATTATGTTCTTGGCTGTTGACACTATTCTCTGTCCTGAAAAAACATGCAACACGCTTGGAAGAGCCATGACAAACGGTGATGTCTGGGGTCAGTCTCCCAGCATGTAAACCTATACAGGTTCTGACACTGGCCTTCTGGCTGACTAGCCACCCTGCCAATATTACTATGGAAATCTTGGACCTGTAATGATAACTGTCAGGGTTTAACAACGGATGTCAACACTCACATTAAGCAGCAAGACTGCTATCCTTCATCTGTTTCTTCACTTTTGTATGTCATTTTTAGGGACTTTTGATTGCATAAACCGTTTAAAAAATGACAACTTGTATCAAGGGGTTTTTAAACACAACAGAAGCAACTACACCACCAATCTGCATTTGGGACAGAAGGTGAATAATACACAAGGAACAGATATGTCACATTTCCAACCCTCCCAATGGCAAGCCAAAAGGCACTTTCTATACCAGCAACTCTGATTTACTGCTTGTATGTGAGAAAAATTATAAAGTGAAGATGTAGCTGTCCCCTATTTAAGGGCTACAATCAGATCGGTTTTGTTTTAGAATGGGTGAGTGTATATAGACCCGACCGGGTGTTCCTCGAGGCCCAAGCATGTGCCCCATTTCCAATGGGTCTACTGTTATGGCTCCCATCAAACCGTCACAAAGCAATCCTGTGCCCCACACTCTCCTGCTCTCTTAGTCTATGCGATTTGAATTGCAAACACTGGCCCTTACGCTCCCTTCACATGCCAGCAGCCCCCCTCTTTAATAACCCTCTGTTTCTGTCGGGTGTGTACCCCAATCATTTTAGTTGGTGGGTAAATAAGGGACTTTACCAAATAGGGGACTTTCTTGACCACAGGAAGATTCGCCCATCATATTTTTGGCATATCTTTGAGAGGCCTACCTCGGAAAACTTTCATATGCAGCAAATCTATCTTTTTTTTTTTTTTTGCATACTTTGGAAAACAACAGCCCTGACCTGATTGTGTACACCATGTTTGAAAACAGATGTATACAAGAAACTCAGTTGAAGGGATGCATCTCTGCACTGTACAAACTTTACCACTGTGTCGATCAAACTATCAAGCTGCTTGGGTGAGGGATGTGGGCTTGACTCTTGAGGAGAAGGACTGGCGGTCTTGGAACTCCAGTGTTTACAAAGGCATTTTAAATGTTGCCCTGACAAAAGCAGGGTTCAAAGTATATGCGAGATGGTACTTGGTCCCAGATCGCCTGTCATGAATGTTCCCAGGATCGTCAGCCTCAAGCTTTCGGGGCTGTGGCCAGACAGACAGTTTTACACTTATGGTGGACTCGTCCAAAAGGCCGTCATTTTTGGATGAGGATTCATTCTCTTATATTCTTGGTTACAATGGTCAATATAGCTAAAGATGCCTGCATTGCCTTGTTAAACAAGCCAGTTGAGAATATCTAAATCAGGGCTTAAAATTTTGAGTCTAGACCTACTAGACAGGCACCCACCCCTTACTCTCCACCAGTTGCCCCATCCAACCTTGCCCAGGTCTGCCTCCAACCCCACCCCTGACCCATCCCCCAACCACGCCCCCTTAAAGCTTATGAAATTACATTTTTTTTTTAGAATAAATAGTCCAAAATATAAAAAACTGCAACAGCTTTATTATGTCAATTTAAACATAACAGCAATATCTTAATAGCAATAGGGTGCAATCAAAATATCAAGTTTTACAGCTTTAAACGTGTAGTGAACATTTTGTATTTTTTTTTGTTTATCTCCTGCATCTTTAAAAAGAGACTTTAGTAACTAGTCTCTTTTAAAAGATGTAAGTTTAGTTTACAGAATTATATATAATATTATGTTTCTTTTATATCCTTGTATATAATTATATATTAGGTACGATATTATGTCTCTTTTTATATAATAATTATATATAAAAGAGACATAATAATATGTCTCGTGTCCCTCATGTCGGTGGAGAGCGGACCTCTCCTGCACCTGTCCCCTCAGCGGCGCTGCCAATGTAATGGCAGCGCCGAAGAAGAAGCCGGAAACAGGAAGTTGGAAACCGGAACTCTGCTTCACAATGAGGCTTGGAGCGCAGGTGGAGCAGCTCCATCTGTGCTCGCCACACAAGGATTTCTCCTCGCATTGGGCGAGTGGCTTTTTCAAGCCCTGATCTAAATAATTAAATTCGGTATCCAAAAATAATATTATCCCGTAAGCCTATA